GCTCCAGTCAGCACCTGTCTTGGATTAACCTACTGATATGCAGGGTGTATCAGAATGCTTCATGTAATCCAAAATTGTAAGAAAAAGAATAATTGATTATGCAAGTTATGAAAAATTACAGTTTATTAATTCTGAGAAATAACAAAATGTGGACATATTTGTAGTTGCTGACTACAAGAAAAGTAGAATTGAGCTTGTCAAATCCTTGACAAGTCCTGATCCAGCTCACTGCCCAGCACGCTCACCTTTACTCCCTGAGATCTAAAGCCCTTGCTTCTCAGACTGGAGGGTACAGGCAGGTTCCGGACTTGCAGAGGCCACCTGAGAGTCACAGCTGATAATGTAGGCCAGTGTGCAACTGCCTGCCTTTTTCAGGGGGAGGATTTTGCCAAATTTTATTTGAATTTGACAAAGATCAAATTTCTTCTTGGTCCAATTGGGTTTCGAGGATTAGAACTTAACTTCCAATAATTTTTTTTTTTTGCTCTGTCCAGCAGTGCAAGTAGAAGCTGTTGCAGAGACACTGTACATCTGTTAACTCTCAGATATGTAATTTAATGAGCTATTAAAAAAAAAAAAGGATAAGCATGTATACAGACAGAATATATATAATTTTTCTCTATGCATGGAGCAGCTTGTAGACAATTTAGGTCTGCAACATACCAAATGCTTTCTCCTACTAGTTCTAAATTCAGACTTACAAATATAGACACTGATGTTGAATACTAGTCCTGCTGACGGCAGTGACAGAATTAATGCTGGCTTCAACCACTTCAATTTTTTTTTTTCAAAAATCAAATAAAAAAACTTAAGCAGCAGAAAGGAATGTTATGAAGAATTGCCCATTGCTGCACTTTCATGCATTTAAAAATTTAAATAAGACACAAAACCATTACCTGAATTTATTTTTTACTACTAAAGATAACATCTTCAAGTAGTTGTAAAAAGCTGCCTAGCTTCCTCTTGCCAATAACACAAATTAAGTAATCAGTAACCCACATCAGCTGACAACAGTGAATCATGCTGTTCATGATCCCTGCTCATTGCCTCAGTGTCAGCCCTACAAACCAAACGTCAGGAGCTTTCTCAGACTGCTGGGGATAAAGGTACTGGGCTGTTTAAGGCTCCTTCCTTCTGTTGGGCAATTAAAAAAAGGAACAACATCAGAAGCTGATGATTCGATTAAGGCACTAACCTCTGGAGACTCCAGTAGGACTATATGAATCATACCTACCAAGCCAGAGCCTTCCATTCATGCTCACAGTACTCATGCTGCCAACCCCAGAATTAGCATATAGCTAATTTTTGTGCATCAGACTTTGTGCCGATAACCTTTTTTGTAGGGAAGAAGCCTTCACAGCTTCTCGATATCAGACTAGCTGCAGCAGGATTTTCCCTGAAGTGCATCGCAGTAAACCAGTGACTCAGACGAGTTGTTAGAAAGTTTGGTGGGAGTAAAGCAACCAAAGTTATTGTTTATATCACAGTAGTCATCAAATTCCCTATTAAACCAGTGATCAAAATGAACTGGTAGAAAACATCCCCTATGGAAAAATTGTAAAACTAAGGTTGGAAGTCCTGGAGTTGACCACAAGCTTCCACTTATCTCTAAAGAAAGGCTGATGGAAGCCTAGCAATAGGTTAGGCACAGCATTCACAAAATGATAGTCACCATCTAGAATTCAAGTAGGATTAAGGATGGAACTGTGATGTGCCTTATTACAAGCAGGTGTTTGTCCATCCTATGCTGTGTTTCTTGTTCAGACTGTAGAGGTAATTTTTGTCACAAGAACAGAACTAAGTTTATACATCACTAACTACCTAGGTAGTTTCATGTCAGACTTCTAAATGATACAAACCTTTTACATTAGCTTATGGAGTTTAGCTATGTCATCTTCTGATATTAGATACGGATCCAGTATCAGAGCTGAGGAGAATATAGTGCTGGGAACCTAGCAGCTCTGAGTGGCTTTTGCACAATGAAATTGTTGCACATCCTGGCTCAGCGTTTCTGGGCACCCCCAGCTGCACTACCTTAGCTGTCCTGTTTGCCAAGGAAGCAGAATTCCTCTTCTGTTAAGGAGGACTTTCTTTGAACCCCAGGGCCGTGCTGTCTACGTACGTGTGGCAAACCTGTTTGTACAAGCCAAATACCTTCCACACATTTTCCAGCACTGTGCAGAAGAAAGCTTAGAATCTTCTACGTATCTCATGCCAACTAGTAGCAAATATGACTAAGAAAAGTTGAGAACCTCAACAATTATTTTTCTGTCACCATTATATTTTGATTTTCTTATCTTCTGCTCTAAATTACTGTTCTAATGGGTGCCAAGCCAAACCATCCCCAGGGCAGATTGTCTTACGTGCTTTGACAGTGTGCTTTGCCCTCCATGGTGTGCCATCTGCCTACTTACCTTTTGTCAGTTGAACTAATCTTGTTTTTCTGAAAGACAAAAGAGGACAACTTTGCACATCACTGACTCTGCCTTCAGCCTGACCAACTCACAGTTGATAGTAAAAAATTTAACATATTCCATTTATTAGTGACAGAGGAACTTTTTTAAGCTTTTAACTATCTTAGTCTTCATTTACATATAGATACAATCTAGTAGCATAGACACCAGCATAAAAATGACACATTAGAGCAGCTGTTTTCACAAATGATCAAGGCAACTTAATGGGGTAACAGAACTTAGTACACATTTTAACTGTTAGTTAACTAACAATACTTAGTCTTTTTAAGCAGCTTTTGTTTGCAGGCTGTTATCTGCACAAGTGGTATTCCTGCTTGCTTGAGTGTGGTGAGAGCTTTGGGGAAACACAATCGTTATAGCCTTGTGACTCACATGTTTGAAGACCATCTCCCTTTCCTCCGAATGCAGCCTTCTGTCTGGAGGTAGGAACTGATTATCCTCTTTAGCTGGCTCGTAGGTTGCAAATGAAGGGTTTGTCAGATTGGCGTTAGCAGCACTGACATTGTGACTTTAAGTCTTCATGACAATACAGAGTCATGGAAGCTGGAATTAGTTTTTGAAGTTCATACTGTTAGCGATGCACATACGGTTATATAGAATGGATGAAATGCAGATAATGAATTCTTGCCCTTCCCTCCATCACCTCCTATTTCCAAAACAAGAAATCTTGAGCTTGCATTAACCTATTAAGAAAGTATGTTCAGATGACAGCCAGGTAGAATGAATGTGAACTGTAATATTTAATTGCAGGACAAATAGCAATGATTATAAACTACAAATCAAGGCAGGCCTAAATGACTTTTGACATAGATGTGAAACAAGACATCCTAGCAGCAGCACTTAACATTACAACCCATCTTTCACTCCAAATCCCCTTCCTAGCCAAGTACTCAAGTCCAGGCAAGGCTTGTGTAAGAGGACTTCCCCAGACATTTCAAGGGGTGATATTAGTATTTGCCAATACACACTTCTGCTATTTAATGAAATACTACCATTCCAACAATGGCAGAAGTAGAATATATAGAGCAGTATTTTATTGCAGAATAGATATTTTGGAGCTAGCAGTAGCTTGTCAACCTGCTACCTGAAAGGCCAGGCTACCACTTTTAGGCATGGTTTAGCTGTCATTTATGACTTTAGATGCAATTTATTTCCTTTATCTGAAAATTCAGTTATTTATAGAAAGTCTTGTCCAGTTGGGTGGTCTGTGGCAGACCCTCAGCACACCAGCAGCATTACCTTCACTTCCAACATTGTTCCAGGAACTTGATTCACCAGAAGTCTCCACAGGGAGAGTTTTGAGAGGGAGGTTCAACTAGATCAGTGACCTCCAAAGTGGAATGTGGGAAGAAAATATTTAATACATACCATTTTTTTTTAAATTACAAAACAAAGCAAAATTAAACAAATGCTATTTAAAATATTTTAAATTTTTATTTTTCTGTCTTTTTTTTGTAATGTACACAATAAATTAGTACAGTAGAACATTTATATAATTTATAAATTAATAAATACACGTCTTGAGTGTGCATGCCTAAAATTTTTTACTGATGGAGTGCATAATGAAAAAGATTTTGAGACCACTGAACTAGATTATCTTGAGGGGGCCCCCTCCACACAACATTTCTGTAATACACATTGTGTTTCGGTATTCATTCTATAAAACAATGTTTTATTAGTCCTGTACTTAATTTGAGATAGCTATATGTAATCAACATGAATGTAGGGTTTTTAAACTCTAGTTTCTACTTCAGACAAGTATCCCACTATTAAAAAAATCTTGCATTAATCAATTTCCTTTCAAACTGGAGCCAGAAGTGAGATGTTTTAGATAATTTCTTATACAAATGTTATGTTAACATAAAATACATTAAACAGAAGATTAACATGTCTAGGCCTTAAAAGGCATGCAAGTATACAGAATTTACTGCTGAAATTACAGAGTTACAGGAAATGTTTTGTGTTTTGGTTTTTTTTTTTATGATTAGAAATAATGTTACACACCCTTTATAAATTATCACTATTATAGAGGTTGTTTGTCACAGCCCAGGTTCTGTGCGAGCATGTCATAGTAAAATGATTGTTTTAATAGCAGTCACATAATTGACAAGACCTTCATTTAAAGTAGTTTCTAAAGGTGCATATTTCGTATACTATAACTTAATACAGTCAAACACAAGAATTTGGCTATGCTCAGTATAACAGATTCTCAAGTGTTTCTGAAAAAAATTGATTTAAAAATGAGAAAAATATCAAGAAGCTGATATTTTCTCATATATATACATAATGTATAGAACTGTAATCAAAAGAACAGCTACATTCCACTGTGTAGCAGACTAGATTACATATATTGTAAACAAACAGCAAAAAGATCCTGTGATGCTTTAAGTGTCAAAGAATGAGCTTTTAACATTAGGCATTTTAGAGGAGCTTTCAAACTCTTTAAAGTGTTCTTAACATTTAAGCTTGTAACTAACACATTTTCAAAGCTGTACAGTTTGTAGTAGTGTTGAAATTAGATTACACTCAAGACTCAAGATATTCTTCAAAGGATGCCATAATATCCCTCTGCAGATATATATCAATTACATGAGCCATCTGCAAGAAAGCAAATTAGTGTATTGTCAGAGCAGTCAGACATTAATAAATACTATGCAGGTCAAATATTTAATACAGATTTAAGAAAAAAAAAACAACAAAGCTTCTTCCCAAAAAGTGTATGCTTCCTTTGTTATTACAAGTGTGAGTGTGTATGTTGTTGAAGTCTGAACAGGATGAAAGCTTCAGTAGACCTTATCTGAATCTAGCATGCTCCCACACTGCAGTTCTTGCATTCTATTGTACAATATTACAAATTAAAAAAAAAAGTTTAATCTAAAAAAAGGTAGCAATTAAAAAACTTTCACCACCTACACCAATAAAACCAGTAAGTTAGTTTTAAAAAGGATCAGTTTTCATATTTCAGACCATAACAGTATGACTAGCGCTTTTGTTGACATGGAATATGTTAAAGAGGATAGACAGCTTGCAAGGCTTGAGGTTTGAAATTATTCAGAGGGCAGGGACTCCTGTTTAAAATTTGATTTTACCGTGCAATTATTTTAAGCTTATGCGAGTAATGGGACCAAGCAGATGGTTTTTCATATTACATCACTTGAAGACCTACTTTGAATTTCCTATTTCATTTTCTGGGCTAATTCTCCAGGTAGCATAATTCTGTTGTTTTCAGTCATTCAGGTCCTTTAAAATAAGGATCTGAGCTAATGTTTTTTATTCTCTACTACAGCTGAAACAAAATCAGCTGGCAAGAGTCAGCAACTTACTACTTCTCTCCTTCTGCGTTCCTGTTCCATTTTTCTAGCCAAATTACGGTCTTGAACAAGAGCATGTTGTTGAGCTTCGGGCAGTTTTTTGCTCTTATACTCTTCTTCTTGGGGCTCACAGTCTGTCACTGCTATAGCCTCCAAGCCTGTGCCTTCACGGCCCCTTTAAAGACAGGAGAATAGATTGGCATAGGATAAAAGTTGGCTCTTCTTTTTCTTCATAACAAACGTTTGTACCTGAACAGAATTTGAAACCAAACTGTGGTTCTGTTTTACATGCTGATTCATAGTGGTTTCCCTTCACAAGTGGTATGTGCATGCAGTTGTTGGGCTGTAGTAGGTCAAGGTTTCCTGCGTTCCATTTCTAATCATATGTGCCATATGCACATGGCATTTATATATATGCTATCCAAAACTTGCATACACTTTCTTTGAAAGACTTGCACACTTAATTTTCTGTTGCTTTCTTGGCCCGTGATGTTTTGCTTTTACCTTCATCTTCAACTAGTTATTTGAGGTAGATTTCACTAACTTCAGGCAAACATCTGTAATGTCTTATTCCATAGAGCTACATTTGCCTGGTTTCCTCCTCATGGAAACCTGTAGTAGCTGAAGGTGCCTGGACTGTTCACTATATGTTCTGAACAAGGAGCATAGTCTTAAATCTCTCAAATTCTCTGTTTATTAAAATAATGCACTCCAAAGAATTGACCTATTCTAATACAGCCGGTGACGGGCAGGAGCAAGAGAATTTAGGAACTGGCTCAGACTTACCTTTCACAGGGTCAGACAGACAAGAAAAAAGTAAGACTACTGAAGAGGGAAATATTACAGAAAGCAGAGTTTCAAAAAGGTGACAAACAGCAATCAAAGATATTACTGCAATGCAGTAGTTAGTAGGCAGCCACTTAACCCACTCAGCATAATAATAGACCTCAGACTGGAAAACATATGTGGGCACTCACTAAAACAGTGGCTGCAAACAACTAGGGAAGAACACTACAGCAGTAGCTTATTGAATATATTTCTCTAAAGCAATGCAAAGAATTCTGCTGTCTGAAGCGTACACTGGAACTCCTTTAGCTATGTTTACACCAAGTTCTTGAAGACTAGATTATCCTGCTTCCCCTTAGGATACCAATATGATGGGGATTTTCCTGGCGGCAGGGCGGGGAAGTGCCTGAAAAGTTTCTTTAACTGCTGAAATGATACTGATTTGCAAGGGAAAAAGCTATTTTTTGCATTTTGGATGTGCAGCTGTGCTTTGTTCCTGAATAACTAAGCCATGCAGTACCATACAAGTAAAAAAATAGAATAATATTTGAACATATGGGTTACAAACCTTTCTTTTTCTTGAGGAAGGTTTTGCAGTTCCCTCTCAGCTTGCACCAGAGGCCTTTTTAACTCCTGTGCTTCCTGACTCCTCTTTAATGCGACTTGCCTGAATTGTTTGAAGCACTCAGCAGATGTCTTTATCGGAGCTGGAAGCGTCATTGTTTTACATAAGCTTGCCCAGGAATTTACATTCTTAAGTCCTGTATCCTGCAGTTATTAGAAAAAGGGAAAGGTGGAAGAGGCAAAAATACTCTACAACTACTAATCATCCATTATCTGCTCAGTTTTTACATTAGCACAACGTTGTTTTGACTAGACCTATTTGGGAATTTCTACAACAAAATACCCTTACTTTTGCAGAATATTAGTGCAAATACAGCAACCTAAGCAGACTTCTATATGTTTTCTCATCAACTTTGAGCTTCTTTAGCAATTTCCTAAAAACAGTTAGCATTTGTAGCTATTCTTACCCAATACTTCATGTCCACCTCTCAATTTAATTCCAGAAAACATGAATTCACAAGACTGAGCATATCCAAGGTTCATTGTCAACATTTTAATATGGAGAACATCCATCTCATTTCTATACATAATTCTTACATAACAATATTTTTGTGTTAGGCTTGTGGGTTTTATTTGTTTTAAATATCTCTGTTTTCTGCCCCCCGCCCGCCCATGGTATTTTCTTCACAGCATAGAACAGCATAAAACCAGTATTCTTAAGCAGTACTGCTTCTAGTAGAAGGTCATGTGTTTATGAAGGAAATACATATTTTTTTGGAATTTAATTCACTAACGTTAGTTAATAGCTTTCTGAAAGCTAAGTGCCTAAAGAAAAGTCCTAGGAATATTTTAATCCAACAGATTATATACAAACTTTTTAGGTCCAGAGGCTGACTTGATCAATTATTTAGACTAGTAATTTTGATTCGATGTCTGTATGCTATGAAATATTTTGCTTAAATTTAATAAAAACTTTCAGATTATTTCCCAATTGTAATGATGTCATCAAAAAAGTATTGTCCTGTTTCAGAACAGGATTTTCAATAATACCCAAGGCTATATTCCACACTACTCTTATTTTTGTTACTGGATCAGCAAGGAAAAGCACACTAATAGCTTAAATATTAGATCTAGATCAAGGAACACAAATTGCTTAACTATTAAAACTAGACAAGGTAAGCCATATTTTTATTGACAATATAGATATGCTATTTTTAACTTAATCTTATATCATTTATCTTATGAAATTATCAGAGCCCATAGATATTTTGTTTATTTTTAGCACTAGAAATTAGATAAATCTGTACAGGTTATAACAATACCTAAGACGTACCAGACACTAAATATTTGAATCATAAAATAACAGATTTTCAGGGAAGATCCTAGAACAGGGAATTATTGATCCTAGCAAGTATACTCAAGCTCTTCTTCTCAAGTAAGGCTTGAGCAACACTTACCTTTGTTGGAAGAACTTTGGATTTTGGCTCTAGTATGTTTTCACTGTTAGGTTTATCAGTAGGTGTACAATGACCTGATGGAAGAATAAAAAAGATTTTTCACTCATGTTGATTTTATGGACTATGTTTCCTCAAACTTAAGTGATAAAAATTTAAGTTGAACTGGATCACTTCTCTCATCTCCTGTCCCCTCCCCACACAGCCCTCTTCCATTTTGATTCCAGCATTAATTAAAAGTACCTCATTCATAATGTAAACTCATTTTGCCTAAAACTCTCCAGCCTATTTCCTCCTTTTTTTTTCTTTTTTTAAATAAAAAAGAAATAGGTCAGCCAATAAAGGCTAATCATCACATTTCTGGTAGCCTGCAGGGTGTGTGAATAGCCCATGCTTTTACTTCTGTTATTTGCGAGAGAAAAAAAAACCCCAAAACTTACACTGGTGAAATGGAAGTGCTATTTTGACAATACTAACTCCAGATTAACAGTTCTCTTGTCCCCATGCATTGCCTCTGAGATAGCATAACCAATATGATGAAGCTGTTATACTCACCAAGAAGATCTACCTGAAGCAAATGTAAGATTAATTTAAATTTATATCCATATCTGTCTTAAAGCTCTAGATATAACACAGGAATACAAGACTGTGTCAAAAGTATTTGCAGCCATGGGCTTTGAAACACACATTTTAGAGCTACTTAGAGTAATGCCAGCCTTCACAGGACCTCTTGTTGAAGGACACTGCTTTTTAGTCTGAAGGGAAGCTTGTGGTTACCAGTTTCGTAATTTAAGCTTCTAAACAAGCCATCACTGAATTCAATGATACACTAAGCCTGCACCCATACCATCAGAGATGTCACAAGTCTAAAATTAAGAACTCTGGTTTCAGAGATGCAGGTGACCTCACAGAAATGCCTGAGACAGTGGAATTCTCTACAAAATTCAATGAGTTGCTCTATGCATCCGATTCTAAAAATATATTTCCCTGGTTTGATCTAAGTAGATGCATGTAGTACTGAGGGCTGGAGCACCTCTCCTATGAGTACAGGCTGAAAGAGTTGGGGCTGTTCAGCCTGAAAAAGAGAAGGCTCCAGGGAGATCTTATAGCGGCCTCCCAGTACCTGAAGGGGGCCTACAAGAAAGCTGGGGAGGGACTTTTCATAAGGGCAACTAATGACAAGACAAGGGGAAATGGGTTTAAACTGAAAGAGGGGAGGTTTAGATGAGATATTAGGAAGAAGTTTTTCACTGTGAGGGTGGTCAGACACTGGAACAGGTTGCCCAAGGAAGTTGTGGATGCCCCCTCCCTGGAAGTGTTGAAGGCCAGGCTGGATGAGGCTTTGAGCAACCTGATCTAGTGGAAGGTGTCCCTGCTGATGACAGGGGGGTTGGAACGAGATGATCTTTAAGGTCCCTTCCAATCCAAACCATTCTATGATTACAGGCCCTACAACAACTCCAAATTAGCAAAGTTTTTGTTGTTGTTTAAAAAATCCAAAAGCCCAAATCCTGTATTTCCCCCTGCCTCCTTCCAGTTTTCTACAGGAGTTAATAGTGGAAAGGCTGAGAGAATACTGAGCACAGATGGGGCATGTGTCATTGCAGGAACAGTCACACACCACTGCATTATGGAAGGGGGCAGATAACTACACTCACATAAGACTGTTAAAAACTCTGCTATGCAACATAATGGTGAAGATCAAGTGTATCAAAGCCAGTCTCCCACATTAAACACAGGAGCTTCTCTAGAACTGTCCCCACAACTGTCGCTTGAAAAAAGGGGAGAAGATAGAAAAGGTATGAATTAAATGAGGATTAGGAATAGAAAGTTAAGAGAAATAACGACTAAGAAGTAAACAGTTAAGTATGGAAAGGAACAAGCTTTCCCAATAGTTTTAGCTATGCTTTTTTTCCTATGAATATTATAACAGTGAGCTTGATTTATTCCTGCTCATTTTCCCAGCCCTTTAACATATCAAGATAACACCATAATCTTGATACTTTACAGATATACAGTATACAAGACAGGAATTCAAGTTTTAGGCAGGCTTAAAATTTAAAAGTAAAGATCATGTACCAGCTCCAGTTGATACAAGTCTAAAAAAAGGGGGCGAGTATGTGTATGGATAGGTGTGTTAAGACCATGAAAACACCGAATAGAACATTTTTGATAATTAAAGCTGGAGTTTTAGGGTTGCCTTAATACAACCGCATTAGTCTTTGGCAACAATTCATCAGTGAGAGGCTGGCCTTTTAATTTCATCAAGTTTTTAGAAGCTTGTTCCCTCCCCTGTTCAAGCCTATACAAGTAATCTGGAGAGGAAAGAGTAAAGGAGGAACCAAAACAATCATGTCTGGTACCACTAGCTTCTCAGCATTAAAGTTCAGTGTCCAGTTCAGAATTCTTTAGTTTGAAATATAGATGAAGTCTGATGCATCTCTGTATGGAATGCAGCTTTCAAGGAACCTGTGTTCTTGTAATAATTACAAGTTTGTTCCATGGTGAAAGCCTGCTTGACATTGCTTTACTGTCAGATCCTTGTCACCAAGGGCCGAAGATGGTAAGTCATGATACACACGAAGTGCCCTGGGAAAAGAGCTCCATGAAGCTGCAGCAGAAGATAGCTTAAAGGTCAGGGAAGTTTGACAGACTGGAGCATCAGTTCTCTCAGACTTCCTGTAAGACTTGATTACTTATCCCTAGTACTAAAATCAGAAAACTAAGTTCTTAAATTAGAAAGTCATTTGCTTTATGTATTTTAACACAGAACAAGAATCAAATGTCCATTGAACTTTTTTTTTTTTAAAAACAGCTAATCAAAAAGGAAAAAAGAGCAAAAGAAAACTGTACCCCCTCCATTATTCTGCAAACTGATTAATGTACAAGTGTTCAGCATTTTATTTCTTTAAACCAAGTTCATATACATTTTTAGCTTTGCACCCCCAATATCAGTTACAGTTTTTACTATGACAATACATACTTTGTTCTTGACTTATGGATATTGAATCAGCAGTTCTCTCACTGATCTTGTTTTGAAGGTTATTTGATTTGTTTAGATGTATTGTTTCCTCAGCTTGTTTACTCCAATCAGCACTGTCAACCTGGGAAGGTGTGTTAGGTACCTAGAAGAGAAGTTAAACTTCAAAATATGTTCTGAAGTGCTAAACTGGGGATTCTCAATATACAGCAGCAGGATTAAAGAGCAGTAAATTGTTGCAGCTCCAGCTTCTGTAAACACCAGGGAAGAGTTAGATTTCATTCATATTATGGTAGTCAAAGCAAGTTCTTAAATTAACACTTTGGATTTAGAACATGAACTGCTCAGAGATCTCATGTGATAGAGTGGATATGAGAAACTGATACAAGCTCTTTAACTCTTAACATGGTACATCATAGAAGTTGGACAGTTGCTCCACTCCAGGTTATGGATGAGGGTGAAGGGCAGCTGTAATCCTTTGAACTGGGGAAGGTGTTGCACAAACCCGAGTCTCATTATATACACTACTTGCTGCCTTTGTTTAGTGGACACAAATGGGAAAGGGCAAGTTGCTTTTCTTCCTTTCTTGCAGGACACGTTCTTGTGCTCATATACTGAAGAGTTAGTTTCTATCCATTGGGGGGGGGGGAGGGGGGAAGCTAGTAAAACCTTGCTAAAGCAGCTATATTTGAAATCATGTTGAGAAAGACAGTTAAACATCTTAAGAGGGAAGAGATCATGCTGCTGCAGTAGCATTATTAACTTCCTTTGTAACACAGAGGCCCTTCTAACCAGAATTCTCTCCAAGAACATATTAAGAGAGAAAGCAACAGTGACTAAATATTTCACAACCTCATCTATGACCCCAAAAGCCCCAGTTTCCATGGCTTTAGGAACATGAAGAGAAAGCAACACACTTTTCCAAGATAGCCTCTAGAGATTTCAGAGTATTTCTGAGCTTACAAGATTGGTATTTCTAGAAAAGAGGAACATATAGGATAAGCTGCCCATCTCTTTTGTGAAACTGCAGGTTTATAGGATGGGCTTTTAACCTGTAAGCGTGCAAGTTACTTAAGTTTAAGCCATAGTACTGAAAAGAAATAAAATAAGCTTTATAGTACATTATAAGCTTGATATATTGGTCAGTCAAACTCTTTCCTTTTGTGTCACATCCAACAGGCAATTAATTAACGCCCAATTAAAGGTTAAGAATCACTGTATTAGCAGGGGCTTTGGATAACTTAAGGTCACTAAATTGTCCTTCATTGCATCAAATTCAAGACTAGAATATTATATTAGATCTTATTTAAAGGAGCAGGAACACGCTTTAAAGGAGTTATTTGGAGAGAAGCATGTATTCACCTCTAAGAGCGTGTGTGCACTGGGTGACAGAAGACTGATTCATCCTTGGAGTACTCTGAGGAGTTTGCTGATCTGGAACATCATGCAGAGCAAACAGAGCTGAGATTATACCTGACAAAGTAGTAGCATATGATTTCCCCTAACATGCAAAGGGCAGTCCTATGTCTCAAAATTAGGTCACTGTTTAGATCTGTAGATTAACTGTATATGAAGATATGTATCCTAGCTGCACAGTTTGAAACAGTTATTTTTAATTAGTTTTTAATTTATTTCTCAGTTAATCAGCTACTTGTTCAAGCTGTCTTTTACCAAAACCTCAGAAGTGTCTGAAGTTAATAGACCTTTTGAAGTGAGGGAGGGAAAGGAATCCTTGGATTAAGTTTTTAAACTTTTAATATTTGATATGTCTAGAGACCAGCAATCAACTCAGAGGGCCTATGGCATCAAGCCTTAAATTCAGCTAATAGGGGTTTCAGACATGAACTTAAGTGGTGCTGATAGGTTTAAGCATCTAATTCCTGCCTTAAGGTGTTCAGCACTTCCTTTAACCCTAGGTTCATTAAGGTATCATTTACCATCTAATTGGAGGGAGGCATAAACACTTCCTCCTGTTTTAATACTATTCTGCCCCATCACAAATGCCCCAGTGATCTGAAACCCTAGCTAATCCTCAGTGCTGCTACACTTTTATTTACATTCTGCTCTTTATAATTGATACCCTGCAAGAACTTTTTCTATTACCCACTTGATAACCTCCAAAACCCCAAGATAAGCTTATTGGGCAATACATAGTTTAGTTCTGCCATCCCTTCTTTCCTCAGCAGTCCAATATAGCCATGCTTCTTGCCATAAAGATGTTACCTGAGGGGCACTGGGAATTTTGTTCTGATGGTTTAAGTGATCTATTCTGTAAAGGTTGAAGCTTCTGCAGTACATTGGAAGGTGGCTGCTGCAGTTCAAATGATCCACAGTTTTGCAAGCTATTAGTAAGAGACAAGGGCTGTGCTTGCACAACAGCATTGCAGGATGTCCTCTGTAAACACAGTGGTATTCTCTAGAAAGAGATTGAAGAAGTTAATACAGCCAAATCTTAATTTTTATAGCTATTTGGTCCCCTTTCCCCACCACCACCCTATTGCTACTCTTCATAGGATTCAGTAGTGCATGCATTTTGATACTAATCTAGCATTTTCTAGGATTTTAGATTACAAAAGCCCATGAGGTGAAGTGTAGTGCCTTGGTCTGACAGATACAGAAAACTTGTGAGAAAAAAAAAATGTCATGTGTGGGCTTGAAGTATGATGTTTGCTTTTACTCAAAGTCAGTTAGGGGCTGTTATAACTGACCAAGTTGAAGCTTTATTCCTTTATCCTGCTTTCTCAAGTTTCTTGCTGTCATTCTGTCACAGGAGAGGCTGCACTTTTTAAACAAAAAAAAAAGAAAAAAGAAAAAAGGGTGTTGCATAATTCTTTCTCTCAGTCTTTGCTTATGAACATACATAAGGAGCAGCTGAATAATAAATTTGCAGCCTAGTTTCCTGTGTCCAGCTAAGCTCTTTAAGTGATAGCAAGTCTATTGTCAAAAGAATGAAGGCTCTGCTATGGTCTTGCTTTGAAATCCAAGGTCTGTCTCTGGTAGCTTCAAGGGAAATTGTGAAAGGCAGCTAACTCTGACAAGAATTAACACCCACTGTATATACAGTAATAGAGCAATTCAATCTTACTGGCATTAAAAAAATATTTCTAAATAAAACTGCTGTTGCTTATAATAATACCATAGTAATAAGCAATAGAAATTATCCTGAAAATGACTAATGTTTTGTACAATTTATTTATTTTCAGGTGTAGAAGTGAAGTTATTCATAGATAAAGAAAAAAATGTTTAAGTGGCATTTGCACTGTTTATGAGGCCAATTCTATACTCAAAGATCAAGTTGGAGACAATTTTCCTTTTTTGGTGGTGGGTGGGGTGGAAGGGTGGGGTGTGTGGAGCATTCTCCCCCTCTCTTCTTTTCCCTTTTCCATCACCCAACATGGAACTACCACAATGCCCGTAAGAGGTAAAAGCCTCAGGAGTTCCCCCGGTACATCAGTTTCTGTGCAGATACATAAGCTACTTTTAACAAACAGCTGATTTTTACACCTCTATGTAAATCAGTCCTACAGAACAAGTAGCATTCAAGCCATATTCATTATTTCCTGATGAAGTTGTGTGATTTCCAGTACCACTGCATGTAACAAATATGTTCAGGGCAAAATATGTTATATTCATTCCAGTCAGTTTACCTTAGGCTTTTCTGTAGAAGTTAGCCTAGCTCCAGTCTGTCTTGAGCAGGTTTCTGTATCTGTAAATACAGTGAGGCAGGCATTAAAAAGGAGATGGGGGGGAATAAAAAAAAAAAAAAAAAAAATCAGTCATTTGCATATGTTTCATTATTCACACATACAAGATGTGAGCTGCAGTTGTACCTATCTAGAGCCAAACCTCCCAGTGAAAGGAACATTCTTATCTTGAATACTTTGACTTCAGCTTGATGTGTTTAGAGAACTTCTCACAGATACAAAAGAAGACCACAAAGGTTCCTGTAGGATCAAGGTCTTTCTTGATCCTGCCATCAATGACTTCACTGTGTTTGCTTCCCTAC